AAAGAACGCAATGAGAAACTCAGCCATCATCTACTACACCTACCACGGAAGGACTGCAGATTGTTAGTGGGAATACTTACAGGTCACTGTCTGGTCATACTGGCCTATGGGGGACCCCGTTGAGAGCCGTCCGCGTTACCCTAACCTAACCTAAAACAGTTTGGGCGTAAGTCTTTACCCATTCATTAGGTTCTTTGCGGACTTATCTCTGCTGTTCATGTACTTCCCGGTTGGGTACATAATGCACTCGCTGGCTGGCGATCAAGACGAAGAAAACAATCTGAAAGGAGGGAGAAAATAAGAAGATTTTCCATATTTTAGCCATGTTGTCTTTGAAAGTGTATAAGCCTCCTACCATTTGGCTAGCATTCGTTTATCTATGCTTTCTCTCCAAATTTCTCTTGATTATTGCCATATATTATTGAGTTTCTGTTTTAGAAATCATTTCTTGCAGAATTCAACAGATTGAACTGCATTAAAGGTTTCCTTCGTGTCTTCTTGGTTCCTGGAAATGATGATGTGCAAATATATATTTGCCACTTCCTGAAAATCGCTTCTTCTATGCCGTTTCACTGGCTGTCATGTGCTGCCACATTTCCATATGAGGAAATATGAGAGGGAAACGAACAATTTTACAAAGCCTTACGTTTATTATAATATTTGCCCTGCCCCGAGACAGTTGTTGCTCTCTCTGCCTCCCTTTAGATGCTACTCCAGAATACATGACAGCTCCAGAGGCTGTCTGTCTGTCTGTATATTTGACTGAAGGTCTGACTGAAGGATTGGGCTTTGTGTTTGTGCTGCTGTCTGCTGCCTCTCTCTCTCTCTCTCTTGGTCTGTCAGTTGTGTTAGCTTTTGTTTTGGTAATTATTCGAGATTTTGTTTGCATTTCATGCATAAATAAATCAACAAAAATTACGACTCAAAACTATAAATGCCAAGTCATACATCTGTCACGACTTTGGGGCTATAGAGGCAGAGAGAACTGCAGACAGAGAGAGAGAAAGAGAGAGAGAGACTCATTGAAGTTGGGCACTAAAATGCAGGCTGCCTATCATTAGTAGTCCTCTTGGTCTCTGCCTTCACTCTAATTTAATCACAAACAAAAATTCTCTCTTCAAAAAATATATGCAAAGCAGTGGAAAAAAATTACCATGGCTAACAACTTTTTGGGGGCCGCGTGCGCGAGTCCTTTATGCAAATTGCGGCCAAATTAGTGAAGGAAAAACCTCTAAAAAAAAATAAGGAAAGAAGCAGAAGAAAGTTAGGAAGGAAATCCCCCGAACAGGTAGAGCGAAAAGGAAAACGCAGACACTTAGAGGTTACTAAAGTTAGGAGCGGTTTGGGTTTACTTAACCCCCGAAGGCAAGTGTCCTGTCATAAAGATCCATTAGATGGTAAAACGACAGAACGACCAAAAGCGGTTAAGCGACAACATCAGAGGCCACATCATCTTTTAATTTGTATTCAAATTGAATGGCAAAAATACTTGACCTCCGGTAAAAAAAATGTTATACGTAGATGGAAGATGGCAGAAATCAAGGCTGTGGCCACTGGTAATCTCTCGGAATGCTTAAAAATACATTTACGGGTGTTTTTTTAATAGAACAATAAAGGGAAACATTTATTTTATCACGATTTTCCTCAGAAATGTTCAATGGGGTTTTTTATAATTATTTGATCCATTAAATAAATTTGGTAGAAGTGTTCTGGATATGCATTTTAATCCATTGAATGAATCCAATCCATACATTTAAATCCCATCCCATTTAAAATACTCGTTTTCCCACAAACCTCAGTGATTTTCCAATTTCCCTTTATAAACCACACACCTTCGCCACTGGAAATCTATGCAATTTATGATCAAAAGAGACCCAGATCCATCTCATCCATAAACTTGATGATTTGAATGGAAAATCCCCAAGCACAAATTGTTTTGTTCCCCCACTTTAACCGAAACTCATTAAGGGCTTCCACATTTAATTCCCTAATCCATAACATAACATCCTTTTTACCCTCTAAGGCTCCCTCAATCCTCTCTTCCCGCTTTCGTTCAAATCTTCCTTTGTTCCTTCCTTCCTTCCTTCTTTCAATCCTTCCCACAATCGTTTGCTGGTAATCCCCACAGCACGCTTTTCTTATGGACCCCATAACCCTGTGCCTGAGATCCTGAGTGCTGCTTCCTTTATCTGTCCTCCGACGACTGTCATCAACGATTGTCGTGACCCCCCCGCGTGGAGCCAACAATTAACAATTAAAACCCCAAAGCGCACAACTCAATTTTGCAATACGCACAGAGAAAGCCAGAGAACCAGAGATGGGAAATGGCAGATAGACAACTGCAATGGCAATTTCATATATAGTATTCCCTTCATAGATGCCAGCCAGAGACAACAATGGACCGAGGACCCTCCCCGAAGTGGTGCAAGAGTTCTTCTCTCTCTCTCTCTCTGTCTTACTCTGTGTGGCACTTACAACTAAAAACTTGTTACGTATTTAATTGCAATTAAAAAGTTGTTTTGTAGTTACGAGTGTTGCTGTTTCTGTTCTTGGGGGCTACCGCAATGGCTATGGCGGGTCTCCTCTCCGCTTCAAAATTGTCTCCAATAACAAGACCCAAAAACCAAAAGCCAAGCAAACCCCCCACGCCACACACAAAGATGAAGTCATCAGGAAAATGCGTGGGCAAAGCAGCCAAAAGGGTTTTTAGCCGTTTAATGACTTTTGGCGCGAGGGATAAAGGCATCGCAAACCGAAAACCCATTCCCATTCCCTGTTTCACTTTCTCTCTCCTGATTTTAACGATAGCACTCATTAGAGTTTTCTGGCGATTTTTCGGCTTAAAAACTTTTCCCATAACAATTGGCCATGGCCATCGTCGCGACTTTGCGACAAACCTAAACATTGCCATCTCTTAACAGAGGGGAGAGCGAAATCGGCCAAAGTTTACTCTTGAGGTGTCATAAATGGTGATGTTTTCATTTGATTTGGTTAACAGAGCTTAAGCTGCAGTCCTGGGACTGACTTGGTGGCCTAATTTGATGAAAGGAGGGATGTCTTGGAAAGACTTATACGCATATTGAAACCATGGTTAATCCTCTTAAACGGTATCAATCTCTTCATTTCAGTGAATACACAATATAGAGAGGGATCTACATCTGGTAGGGAAATGGGCTTCAAAGTCTATTATCCACTCTGCAGATGGTGCATACATTTCTTTAAAGAAAATTACGTCATTCCATAAGGTAAGCTATTCCCCCGCTATGGATTACGTTTAGAGTGTTTCTTTAAAGCATATTCTATAAAGAAAACGATAGTTTTGCTACCTGGACGCTCAAAAAACAGCTGATTACATGAGCATTCACATGTAAACGTTGAATGAAACTGTACTTTTTGGAAATTTAGAATGGCAAGCTCATCAAATTGGATAATTAACCTTGTACGCTTGTCCCTGACTATCTGTAAGTCTCTTCCGCTCAAATATGGATACCATTTTGAGTAGAATCGATACATTTCTAACTTCCAAAAGTGTGAATGACAAAATACAGACTGCTTAAGAGAAATATATCTTATAATATGGTTATATGTATATTCTTTTGTTTAAATTTACTCAAAAATAGTTTAATCTTACTACATGACTGTTTTGGGGAGACTGGTTTAAAGAATCTGTCCTCTTAAAGAACAAAAATTCTTAGGAAACTATACTAAAACGAGGGGGAACGTTGTGAGTTGCTGCGGACACCGCAACTCTACAGTTATACCCGATACTAAGTCAGTATGGCTCTCCTCCGGCAGACGCCGCTAATATTAAACGACACGACAAAGAATGCGTGCGAGAGAGACAGAAAATCAGTCTGAGCGTGACGTCGGGCGCTGCGTAGCCAATGCAAATTGATTTGTTCCTTTTGGCTACAAAAATTATCTGATCTGATCCAAATTCAGCAACCGGATAGATATAGTCATTCTCTATGATTCTGCGTTTTTAGTTTTCTCGAATCTGCAACATTGTGGATGCAACAGATTTTCGTCCTTTGTGGGGGCGGATGGGGGTGGGGCGAAATTCTGAGATATACGTTTTATAGTGACATGTTAAAGGAGTGTGTGTACCAAATTTGGTTACTCTAGCCTTAATAGTCTCTGAGATTTGTGGTTGCCTCAGATTTTCGTCCTTTGCGGGGGCGGAAGGGGGTGTGGCGAAATTTTGACAAAAAACGGTCAAGGTCCGATATCACAGGAGTGTGGATACCAAATTTGGTTGCTCTAGCTCTTATGGGTTCTGAGATCCTTGAACTCATATTTTGCAATTGGCAAAACCGACTATGAAACCTGTGTGTTAGAGTGAGACAGAGCGAGAAAGAATGAAATTGTTTTCGTGATTCTGGCTGTAATAATTATACGATCTGGTTCAGATTTCGCACTCTAGAAGATATAGTCATCTTCTACGATTCTGCGTTTTTTGTTTTCTCGAATCGTCGAAATTGTGGATGCCACAGATTTTCGCCCTTTGTGGGGGCGGAAGTGGGCGGGGCAAAGTTCTGAAATATTTTTGGAGCAGTGACATATCACAGAAGTCTGGATCCAAAACATCGTTGCTCTAGCTCTTATAGTCTTTGAGCATTAGGCGCTGAAGGGGACGGACAGACGGACGGACGGACAGACGGACAGACGGACGGACGGACAGACAGACACGGCTCAATCGACTCGGCTATTGATGCTGATCAAGAATATATATACCTTATGGGGTCGGAAACGATTCCTTCTGGACGTTACACACATACACTTTTACCACAAATCTAATATACCCCAATACTCATTTTGAGTATCGGGTATAATTACTTGAAAATGCCATTAACTGTTCGCAGATGGCCTCCACCTGTGATCAAATGATTAGGCTCCAGCTCTCAACTAGTAAGTGCGCCTAACCACAAAAGTTAATCACACAATTGACCACGCGGCTCAAGTATTGGCTGCGTTTTATGAACGATAGAATTTCATGGGGTTTTTCAACTTTATTTTAGTTTTTATGATTAGAAGGAATGATGATGACTAGTTGGGGAGGTTGGCAGTTGGATGATTATCTCAACCAAATAGATCGAATAGGTTCTCCTGCTGTTGCTGTTGCTGCTGCTGTTGACCTCCTCCTGCCCCCTGCTGTTGCTCTTGCTGTTGACCTTGAAAGAATTCAATGCCACCGCCAAAGGGCCCCCTAAGGATGACACCTTGCTCCTGCTGTTGCTCCTGCTGGCCGCCACCAAAGCCACTCTGTTGTTGTTGCTGCTGTTGCTGTTGTTGTCCTTGTTCAAGCTGCTCAAACTCCCGTATGATGCCACCAAAGGGTCCACCAAACTGAGCTGACGTCAAGGCAAACAAAGCCACAAGTAAAGCAAGCTAAAGGGTACCTTCGATTAGGCATATTTTGTGAGGATGAAGGGCTCCTGAACTTACCACAAATTTCATTGTGATTTGATTTCCAGCTAGCGATCTTCTACGTTTGACAATTTTCAATAAACTGCTTGGCTTCTCTGGAGCTACTCTACCATTTATTTGGTGATTTTTTTGTGACACTCCAAACTGGTTTTACCTAGGTCTTAGATCTATCTTGTGCTGTCATGGGGGGGTTTCCCCCTGATTGACAGATAATTTTGTAGAAAAAATACAGGTTTTTTCTCGCATCTCTGTCTCGCGTTTTGTCTCCAACTCTGTCTCTGTCTCGCTTTTAGTCTCAAATTCTATCTCTGTCTCGCTTTTTAATCTCCAATTCCATCGCTCTTCTATCTCTGTCTCGCTTTTGGTCTCCAGTTCTGTTTCTCACTTCTAACTCTGTTCTAATCAAATTAGATGTTCATTTAAGATCATTAGATTATCTCACAGATTCACGAACTGATTCATGAGTCATTGGCCAGAAGCATAGGTTGTACTTTTTTTTATATTTTATTCTTAGATCTATAAAATTTAACAGGTCTCAAGTCTCTCCCAGAGGGACTTCCAATGGCATTATAACGTCGGGCAGCTCAAGTCGGTTCCCAGTTCTTCTAATATTTAGAAGAATCCGCCCTGCTGCTGTTGTTGCTGCTGCTGTTCGCCACCGAATCCACCGCCGAAGCCACCGAAGCCACCTTCTTGCTGCTCCTGCTGCTGCTGCTGTTGGCCAAAGCCGCCTCCGAATCCACCGCCGAAGGATGAGCTCTCCTGCTGCTGTTGCTGCTGCTCTCCACCAAAGCCTCCACCGAATCCACCGCCGAAACCTGCATCCTGCTGCTGTTGCTGCTGCTGTTCGCCACCAAAGCCGCCGCCGAATCCTCCAAACTGAGGCAGGGCTGAGGCCAAAGCAAACAGGGCCACAAACACGATCACCTATGGGTAATGGAGGATGGGATTCAAACACAATCCTCGGACCGATCAAAGATAAAACCTACCAGAAATTTCATTTTGCTTAAAAGGTTTTTGTTGCCAATGAAGACGTTTGAAAACTGAATCGTTGCTACCCAACTCTTTCTCTATTTATACGTTTTAAACGGAACTTTCGTGGGTTCTTGACGCATGGCTGCGGTGTGAAAAAACCTGTCCCCAAGGCCCCCCAGACACTTGCCCAGACGCTTTGGGCTTCCCTCTAAGCGGATCACTGACCAGGTATACGTTTCTCTTTTTTAGCTGGTTTTTTCTTGTTTTTTATAGTATTTTTTGTTTCTGTGTGTTTTGTTTACGTAGCTGAACAGGCAGCAGGTGCGTGCTGGTCTGAGAATGAATATGGATGATATAGTTCGTCAATCTGTATTTAAATCAGTGTTTCCTGGGGTGATTAACTAAGTGTGTTAGTGGCTGAACTTTTCCATCCTTAACCCATACGCATAGCACTGTTTTTCTATAGAGTAAGTACTTCTTTAAGGGAAAATACAAATGAATTCGAATGGGAAATGGGGAATGCAGAATGGGATAGAAGTTTCCTAAGTTGATTACATGTCGTAGAAATCAAAGAGATTTTTTTTCTTCTTTTTGCGTTTGAGAGGATTTCAAGAGTGTTGTCAATCGCTTGACACGAGAGCCAAAGCAAAGCGAAATTCCCTCAATAGATAAGTACCACGAATGTGTGGAGGGGAATCACCTGCAACACAGATGGTGCTGCAGGGGGTGTACTCTTGCAAAAGCAACACAGTTTGGACCCTTAGCCCCACGGAGGGTTGGCTTGGAATTGCATTTGGCTGTGTGGCAATTGAGTTTACGAATACGTGTTGGCTTTAACTTTGGCTTTTAACCTTGCCACAGCCACAGATACAGCGGCAGGAGTCAGTGCCATCGGGGGGATGTCCTTTTGGTGCGCATTGAGCGGTAAATGAATTTATTTGCCTCATTTAGTTGTAGCTAATTTATTTTTATTTTTATTGAATTTGTTTGTAAGCGAAGGAAGGGTCTCTAAGTAAGAGATTTTGTGCAGCATTTTATCGCCAGTACTTTACTTGGCTCTGGACTTGGCTCTCAACTTGCTTTAATCTCAGAAAGAACACTCGAAATGGAAGTCCATAATCATAGGGCATCAGTCCATTCGACCTCCCATGAAAGTGTTCAGTAATTTCCCTTTACTTTGGAGTAAAATGCCTAATAGACCCCTTTTTTTTGGCTTACAAATTGTAGACCACACAGGCCTGCCACGTCGCGTGTCACATGTTGCAAGCGTTCAAGACTACTTTGATGGTGGCCCTGCACGATACCCCAGTGCTGCGCCATGCATTCAAATTTGTTCGAAATTTCAATTCAATTACCGTCAATTTTCAATAATTGTGTTCAGATTATATTCCATTAGGCTCTGACTTAAAGTTTTACATCAACATAATTAGACCTTAAAGTATTCTTTGGGTTAATAGAGGGTTAAAACTTGCAGCGAAATGGGGTCTCTCATTGAAACTTTGTGTCACAGACAAGTCAAAGGCCAAGGCAAATGAGAGCATGGTTAAGGAATACTCGCAGATATGTCGTAGATGGTCTATGGAATACTCGGTGCCTCACCCTCCCAATCACTTTGTTATTGGATTTTCGGGCTCGAGAGCGATCAGAGCTGCCTCTACGCCCGGCATGAATTTTGTTTTTGCACACTCGGGCTTTCGCTTTTAGCTTCGGCGACAGATTCCGATAGGCATATCTGCAATAGATTATATTCTATCCATCTATCTATCTACCCATCTATCTATCACTCAAATGACATCATATAGGATCCTAGCATACCCTGCAACCCACATAGAGTAGATCCCCCTAGCACCTAGAGGAAATCCAAGTACGTTTAATTTTAAACTTTTTGGCATCAGTAACTTTTTCGGTGACTTTTCGTTCGGCACCAGACACCCCCCCCGTCGATGCTATGCCATGCAATGTCTGAGGTTATTAGGGTTCCTTCTGAAAGGCAATGCATTAGCCGTAGCTGTATTTTATGCCACCCTTATCCAGGTAAAAAGGGGTTAGAAGGGGGGTTGTGTGTAGATATGTCTGTCTTCCCATCCATATGAATTTCACATGCTTAAGCCGCAAACTTATGTGCGCGCACAGCTTGAAATCCTCGCTCCACGTAAACTTAACTAGAAACTAAAACCCACAAGAAAAAATATAGAAAACCATAAGAAAGGGTGTGGGAGACTGCGACTAGGAGATACCTAGTAAAGGGAAAGTATAGAAAAAGCTGTAAAAATACAATTATAAATTTAAATAAAGCATAGAAACACAATCGCTGGGCTCGTGCGCCAACCCCCGGCTCACTCGCTTGGCGCGCTAGCGACGATAGGAGTAAAATCAGGAAAGGAAGTAGACACCTAAGGCTCGTGATTTATCCAATTTAAAAATTTATTTACAATTTGTATTGTATTTTTTGTGGCTGTCACATAAGCAACATACCCGTTCATGCTACAACTACCAGGTATTTCGAATCCCAAAGAAGAATGAAGTAAGGAAGAAGTAGCTGGTGGGTTCTGGGATAGTATCTAGTGCTATGAACTTTGCTTCTGACTCTGAGCCTCCTGCTTCTCCTCCGTTTGGCTGCTTCGTCTTCATACGAGTATTCGTACGGTCGTCGTCGTCACAGCTGCAATTTTGACAGGAGCTTAGTACTTGGAACTCGCTGGAACTCTCTCCAACAATTTTTGAGCCAAGTCAATGAGCAATTGACTGCCAAACCACCCCCTGCTGCTGCTGCCGCCCCACCCGCCCATACATATTCGGGGGCAACTTCCTTGCACTCCGCCTGGCATCTGCATATTTTTGCGCAAATATGTTTTAATATGGGTTAGGAAAACTTTTTCACTGCCTCCTCTCCCTGTCACTCTTTCGGTGTGGAGGAAGTTTCTGCTCTTCCACACTCTCTATTTTTGTCTGCCTTTTTTTTTGTCAAGTGCACTTCCACTTTTTGATAGATGTTTTTCCGGGAACTAGTCGGAAGCTCAGAGAAAACGCAGAGAGAAAGAGCTTGAGATTTGCCAGATATTTTCAAGTTTTCGGAGTTAGTTTTATTAACCTCTAATCGTGGAATGGATTCTCTGAGTTTAGACATAATACAAGATTTTCATTCTTTTTTTTGTGTTTGTTGCCGGGGAAGATTTTCATCTTCTTTTGTGTTTCTTTCGGGAAAGATTTTCATCTCTTTTTGTGTTTCGTTCGGGAACGATTTTCCCCTATTTTTTGTTTGTTTTAGGGGAAGATTTTCCTCTCTTTTTGGTTTGTTTTAGGGGAAGATTTTCCTCTCTTTTTGGTTTGTTTCAGGGGAAGATTTTCCTCTATTTTTTGTTTGTTTTTGGATGAACATTTTACGTTTGGTTTTAATTTGGTTAAACACCGGGGTATCTTAAGGTCGAGGCACGTGTGACTCAACTCAAGCCGTCCGACTGAACATTATCCACGCAGAGATATTTGTGTTTTAGTCGCCATTAACATTAAATGATCTGCAATAGTTTTTTTTATTTATTTGTTATTATTTATTTTTTTATTTTATTTTTTTATTAACTTTTGGGGTTTTTATTTATTTTATTTTGTATTATTAATTATTTATTGATTAAATTGATACAGAAAATATTTTATATTGCTTAAAATATAGATTATCACGTGAAAACATCTGCCGTTATTTTACTCATGTCGGCGCGAGAGAGCTAAGCGAGTGAGCCCGGGGTTCGTGCTTATATTGATCTATTTATTTATCTGTTAGTTGTAGGTGTTTATAGGGTTATCTCTCCACAAATCAATAAAATTGTCTGAATAGCAGAGCTAAGTAAGTCCTACAGAGTGCCAAGTCTCTGCTTAAATCTCATTAAATAAATGAAATACCTGTGTATCGATAATGAAAGCAAGCCGATTTGCCTGCTGATTAATCCTTTTGAGCAATCTCCATCTATTTCGCTTCTACTCGGCTTATATGCCGCATCTATCTGTCTTTTCTCTTACAATTTATAATTATTTCCCCCAATCATATCCACTTACGTTGAATTTCCGCCTCTATAATTGTTGTACTTCAGCTGAACAAACTCCTGAGTTAATCATCACCTAGCCCGCCCGCACTTTGGTCGTCGCCTCGCCCCCTTCTGCCCTCGAAGATGATGTCGCCTTGGCCCCATTGGGTGGCACCACGAAGATGCAGGCGGGATGCATCCTGCAGAAGGAGGCTGGAGCAGAGGGCTCTTAAAAGTTTAGTTTTAATTAAAGGAAATTTGCGTGCGTGGCACTTGATTTGTAGTTCTCTCTAGTGTTTTCCCGTGTGTGTGTGTGCAGGACTCATAAGAAAAAGAAAAAAAATATAAATATAATTGAAAATTCTAAATTGCAATTGCCGCAAGTGCTCTTTCAGTCGCTTCCAGGCTGGAGAACTGCTGCAAGATGCAGATGCAGATGCAGATGCCACGGTTACCAAAGTTTTCTCCTAAGATGCGGGCTGGGCCGAGGCTCTTCCTCAGGTGTGTGGGCCCCACCCAAACCCAAACCCAACCCAACCCCATCCTGTCTCTCTGTCTCCCTTGTAATTAGAAGCAAATGCAAATTTACACGTCGAGTGTATGTCGGGGGATGACGGAAGTCATTGGCAAACGCCGATTCCCAGGGCTAGCAGCCCCTACAGAACTTTGTTCTCTCTCTCTGTTTGTCTGCATTTGGATGTGGGGATGTGGGATGTGCGGATGTGGTGGCAGGAGATACGAGTACTACTATAATGAGAAAAGTTTAAGCCGCAAAAAGGAATAAGTAGTTAGGTGTTACAGAAGGTTAACTCGATTTTGGGCAGCGGAAGCCGTGCCTTTTATGATCCTGAAGGAAGACGTGTAGGACTTCTACTCAAAGATTAGATGATTTCTGTGTGTGGGATAGACAAGCCTCCTTCAAGAGAAAGAGAGCTGTCCAAAAATTGCCAGAATTTACTTGTCTTTTTATTCCTTTTCCTCCTTCAATGATTCTTCGATGGGTAACCCTT